TGAAAACGAGCTGGCGATTCAACTCGACCTCATTTTTTCCCTTTTAGAAATCACACGTCCTATAGTTTTTGCTTGATGAATAAAAAAATGAGATCTGTTCACAACCAGTTAAATGTCGCATATAAATGTTTCTCACATAATACCCGTTGAACCTAAATTAAATTATTATTTCAAAACTCAATATGATGACGTCGCTCTTATTATAAGAGTTCGGGACCGCCCCTCCCAAATTTATTTGGTTTATATGACGCCACCCACATATATAGTATTGTGACCCCTAGTATGAGCCATCAGATCTAAGTAGACGATTAAAATGGCTTGAGTCACAGTGTTATCAATTGGTTTTTAACTGTCAGATCTTGATCAGATAATTTAGAGTTTTTTATTTTAATTTTTATTTTATAAATTATTTTAAAGCAAAATTTGGGACATGTATAGATCTGACAAGGTCACATATGAGAACATAAAATATTTTTTATGATGAAAATTATTATAATACCCCTGAAAATTTATAAGGCCATTTTTCGTCATTTATTTTTACAGATTTATTTTATCCAGGTTCGCCCTAATTTTATGATGGGATACCAAAAATTTCATCCAAAAATATTTTGTAGAAAAAAAAAGGAAAATAAAATAGTGTTTAGCATGACATTGGGGTATGAACGATCATAGTTGCTTGATTTAGATCGAACGGCTAAGAAATGGGGCACAAATAACTTATATGTTGTTGGGGCCGTATAGAAACATTCATGTTTTAATATAGAAAAATGTCTATTAAGGTTTCAACCTTAGAAGGTGCACCTCATAAATCCATCAAAAAAAAGTCGTTTTGTTATTGAAAAATCCTTAAATGGATCATCTCAACTTCGTTAAGTATGTATATAGAAGAAACAATGATTTCAAGTTTTAAAAATAGTACATTATGTAACACATTATCTAGACCATCATTTTTTAATATTTTTTGAGTGTTCATAGATCGCAGTAACCAAAAATCTATTTTTAATGAGATTTTGGGCACATCTTACGGTGATTGTTTAAGGTTGACACCTTGTAGAAACCTCATCCTTTCGCATACAATGCCAAAAGCCGCGTTATATTTGAAACCAATTGTCACTTTCTTTTTCATTGTAAAACTCGGTATATCGGTGACTCGTTTACAGACTGCTCAAGCCTTTTGGACAATATTTTTAATTTTTTGGTGTGAAAAATACAGGGCGCTAATGTTAGGGGTTGCAACGGGTAGAGTCTAGTTAAGTCGGTGTCGACCCCGACCTAGATTTGGGTACAGAAATTAAAAAATAAAAAAAGAAAATTTCGTATAGAACCTTAATTCTTCATATTATGTCATGGTAGACCCTCTTTTCATTTTTTTTTCAAACGGTATAAGCAAACTCCTAAAGATTTCATCATACCCCTTCATCTCTTATCTCACTTTTTTATTGACTTTTGATCATAAAAATTAGCTCAAAAAAATCTTTTTATATATCATTTCAACCCAAAAAAATTTTTAATGAGTGGAAAGGGAAAAGAGGGTTAAAAAAGTTTTTGGTATGAAATGGTATAAAAATATTTGTTGAGGCTAATTTTTATGGTCAAAAGTCAATAAAAGAGGGAGATAAGAGATGAGGGGGTACGGTGAAATCTTTAAGAGTTTTTTTATGCCACTTGAAAAAAAAACAGATGGAAGGTCTATCATAAAATAATGTGAAGAATTAGGGTTCTATACGAAATTCTCTCCAATAAAAAATTATTTTATATATTATTATACTTTATGTTGGGTTGGATCTGATCCAATAGGGTTTATGCCGGACCCAGATGTTGACCTAACTCGGCTCGAGTCCAAGTCATTTAGACCCAGACCTGACCCGCCAAGTCCAAAACATATACTCAATCCTTGACCCGCCAAGTCCAAAACATATACTCAGTCCTTGACCGAGTTCGGGTCAACCCATTGGGTCGGTGGATTGACTTGCCCATTGCCATCCCTAGGTACATTTCCATTAGATTGTCAGGAACACCCACAGGACGTTTTACCCTTGCTATAGGCCACTTATTCTCATCATAAAACCGGATTTTGGATCTAAGAATTTAGATTTTTGAGAATCTCTTCTATGGTGAATAAGAATATCAAAGGATCCAGTTTCTAGGCGAATCTCTTCTATGGTGAATAAGAATATCAAAGGATCCAGTTTCTAGGCGGCCAAGCTCGCATATTTAGAAATACAGGGCTATTAATAAATCTGTTTTTGAGATGGATTTTTTAACTTAATTTTTAAGGACATGTCATCTCTAACATGGAGATTAGAATATGAAAATATAAGTACATTTTAAAAACAATAAATAATAATTGTAGTAAAAAAATATTTGGACCGTTAGTTTCCATTGTTTTTAGATGGAACACCTACTTGCATGGATGCTTTACACTTTTTGGACCGTATATGTAGTCATGAAGTCTAGCCCGCATGAAACAATTTTTCATATCAAATGGGAAAAGTTTGTATAGAGCCGAGGCTCTAAATAATCAAATTAGAGCCCAACTCAAAATTTTCACTAGAAGTGGTCATTTTGATATCCAAATATCTTCAAATTAATTATCCATCATCAAGATGCATGTACACAAAAAAAAAAAAAAAATTCAAGTTTTGGAAATAGTGCATCAATTTTTAAGATTTTCAAGTTTTCATAGATATGCTCGATCTATTCTATTTTTAAAGCTTTAAATTTTATAATTAGAGATGAAAATATATTTTAAGGCTATCACAAAGATTTTCAGTATTGGGACCACATTTCTCGATACTATTCAAAGGTGTGATCTAATTTGATTGTTTAGAGCCTCAGCTCTATACAAACCGCAACCATAAATTTTTGAACTAAAAAATAAGGGAAATGTTTCTACACTTCCCCTACAACACAGAAGATATATGCTTCCCTTACTATCCAGCTGTCCAATTTTGATCAAGAGGGTCACTCACCGTTTGATTTTAGATCTGACGTCTCAAAGTATTTCATTTTTAGTTTTTTCTATACAAATTGTATGAATATGAAATTTGGTACATACCATCTCCTCATTGGGCCACACCTATAAAAAATATTTAAATTAATATTTCGATAAAATATAATGACCAAAATATCTCTTGAAATTTTCAAGGGTATTTTAGTCATTTTATTTTATTGAAAATATTTTTTTTATATTTTTTACTAGTGCAAGTTTAATAGAGGATTGGACATCCAAAATTTGGTGTCAAAATAGCTTATAAAAAAAAGTTAAAAATAAAATACTATAAAGATATGGCATTGTGATTGGGACAATCTTAACCCTCCATTTAGAATGGACGATTGGATAAGGAGAAATACATAAATTTTATGCTACAGGGGAAGTATAGAAAGCTTGGCCAAAAAATAGTACCTTTGGATGTGTTTTTAGCACCGCCTATTTTAGGTTTTGGTGGGGACTACCATTTTTCCACTTCTATCTTCGAGGTGGATGTTTGATGGACTAGGGCACCCTTGTACATAATTACATCCCTCGATGGAACACTTGTCCTTTACACTAAAACCAGGACTCGGATCCTTGATCGGACCTCGCCGATCCTTTGATGACAAAAGAATATTGAAAGAATAGAAAGTCAAAAATAAATCAGGTGAGAATCATGTGATTTTTTCACTTGATCGCTGATTTTTCTTAGAGAATCGCCCAGTTATCTTGATATGTGAATTTGTACTATTGAAGTCTATCTCTCGTGGAATTCATTCCGAATTTTTTATTAATTTTTAGTAAAAAAAAAAAGTAGTTTGCGGGTTAGGGGACATATTTCTAGAACAGTGCCCTAACATCCATATTAGAAATGGATGTTAGAAATAAAAAGACAATAGCCACATAAAAATATGGGATTATCTACAAAGAGTATTTATTTTTTGTACATACAAGTTACAATCATTCTCACTCATTAGATGTCAAATTGGATGGTTTGGAGTGAGTCATGAAACATGCAAATTTTCTTTTGTGAAACTTGGTGTCTATTCAATGACACTTTAACAACCAACTATTTTGTAATTTAAAGAACAAGAACGATTGTGACCTCCATATACAAATGATAAATGATCTCTTTGTAGACAATCCCTAAAAATATAATATAGTGTTAAAACTTTGTTAAAAGATTTTTATTTTTAAGATTTATTTTTTCCAGTTTCATGCCTGTCATGATTCAAATTTGAACAATTGTTTCATGTGGGTTAGGAATCATTTCCATGATGGATGCAAATAGGTGGTCCATTTAAAAAACAATTGTAAATAACGGTCCTAATGTTTTCTTAATATAATAATTATTTCTAATTTTCAATAATTTTTTTTGATATTCATATCTCCATGTTACAGAGTTTATATTCTCTAAAAATTAAGAGCAAATTATATTTAAAAGATATATCAATATTTATGGACAATGATTTCATGCAACTATTGTGTAGTAATATGATGCAACAACTTTAAAAAACCATCTTATGGCCATTTGTTTAATCCAAAATTTGAAATATACACTCTTTTCGTTCTAATTAACAATCACAAAAACGAAGAAAATTGAAAACATAACCTAGAAAGTATTTTTTTTAACCCAATTAATATAGCCGTTCATTTTAGTGAGATGCTTAGATCTAGGCCTGAGAAGGATTTTTTCATTTCCAATTTGTTTGGATGGCTTTATTATCATTAGATGAACAATGTTAAAAAATAAAAAAAAAATGATTTTGAGTTTATAAAGGCTAAGATCTTGAAATTCACAAAATGAATGGTCGAGATTCATTTTTGGAAGGGACTCATTTTGACCATATCTAAAGTTCAATAACTTTTTTTTTTTTGAGGGATTGATTGTTAAGTTGAAGAGAGTGTGTGTGTAAAATTTAAGGTCATACAAATACCACAAACATGATTTTCTATAAACATCCTTGCATTATACTATGATACAACTATTGCATTGGATCATTACTCTATATTTTATTGCCAAGCCCACACTCTTCTACATTATACAGACCGCATGCTAAGCGAGTCCTTCAGATTTTTTTATGCCTGAAAATATTGAATAAACAAATCTCCCTCTAAAATTAAATTTGGAGAGAGGACTCGTTCAAATAGATGCGTCGACCCACTTACAGAAACCTTGTCATCCAGAGAAGATGCAGTGAGGGTAAAGTCGCATGGAAGAAACCGACCCCACATCCACTGTTTAAATGCGTTTGAGCATCCACACCATAAATTAAATCAAATCAAAATCATTTCTCACTTCAAAACAAAACAAAACAAAACAAAAGCAAAATACCCCCCCTTTATTTCCTTCATCACAACTCTATAAGCAAAATAAATCATCATCGGAGTCAGTACATCTCCAATTCCTCCTCCTCTTCCCTGAGGTCATGTCGCCGGAATCCCCCCGCCTTCGCCACAGCTCCAGCTTAGGTGCAGGCAGCCGCAAGACGCCCACCGCCCCCGCCCCGGTCCGCACCACCTCCGACCCCACCCTCGTGCGTGGCCACGCCGCCCTCCTCCCCAATCGCGGCCATGGCGGCGGCCGCAGCCGAGCCATGACCCTGACCTCATCACTCCGTTGCCTGGTCTCACGACTCTTTCTCCCCCTCCCCACAATCTCCATGGCCTGTCGATTCGCCCGCGTGCCTGCCCCCTGCGACCTAGGCCGCCGCGTCACCGGCACGCTCTTCGGGCACCGCAAGGGCCACGTGACCTTCTCGGTTCAGGCGAGCCCCAGCGCGGAACCCGCCCTACTGCTCGAGCTGGCCGTTCCCACCTCCGGGCTCGTCAAGGAGATGGGCTCCGGGCTGGTGCGCATTGCTCTCGAGTGCGGGCGCGTCCACAGCTCGCCGAGGTCTCTGTTTGATGAGCCGGTGTGGAGCATGTATTGCAACGGGAGGAAGGCGGGGTACGCGGTGGCGAGGGCGTGCAGCGAAGGGGACTGGAGGGTTTTGAGTGCGGTGAAGGCCGTTTCAGTAGGTGCAGGGGTGTTGCCTCCTCCGCCATCTCCTTCGAATGAGGGGGAGGAGGTGATGTATATGAGAGCCCGGTTTGAGAGGGTGGTAGGGAGCAGGGATTCTGAGGCCTTTTATATGGTCAGCCCAGATGGCAACGGTGGTCCGGAGCTTAGCATCTTTCTGCTCCGGATATGAGCACAGCGATTGCTCCATGCTGCTCTCTCTCACAGTGATGTAATCCTCTCTAAAAACCCTTTCTTCATTCTCGCCATGAAATTTAACGTTAGCTTCCCACTAACCCAAGAATTCCACTCTCTCTGTAACTTTATTTGAAACATTTATATTTTGATAAAATGACAGAGTGAAGACTGACTGAAAATGGGAGAGGGAGGGACTGTAAATAGGTTCTGTGGCGAGCAGCATATTCCACTGTAATAATATTTTGTTTTGAATGAGTAATGGAACCCTAATTTTTATCTCCCTGCGTTCAAAATCCATGAGAAGGTAAAGTTTGTTTGGTTGTGTGGAAAGGGGAGTGCGGAACTGTGTTTGTTTGGATCGAGGTGGTGCAGCTCCTCTTTATTAAATTGCGGAGGGCAGCAATGATGAAAGCAAGTGTTATGGTTGGGACACGGGGGGTGTCTGCTTACTTTTGAAGAGCCCTCTCTCCCTTTCGATTAATTTAAATTTAAAGTATGACGGATTATTTTTGTTTTTTCCTTTTTTGGCTCTTTACGTAGTTGACTTAAAATATATAACTACAATCGGACCGTCGGGCCACGTATGGCTCCTTAAAGGGCCAAGTCAAGCCAGGTGGCCCTGCCGGCCCTAAAAAACTAGGGCTTGGGACAGGTTTGGCCCAGATCGGTCCGATCTGGTACTTATTTTTTTATTTTTTTGTTTTATTTTTCATTAATTTTATTTAGCTCGGCCTTGGGGCGTAGACCGGCTTGGACCGCCCATCAAGGTAACAGGGCTGGGCGTGGCCCGACCCAGCTCGGCCCATTACCAGCCTTTAATCGGCCTTGCCCTCGGCCTCGTTCTATTTGTGACAGGCATGACCTACTGGATTCAAACGTATTCAAAAAGAAGAAAAAGAAAGGAAACATGTTTGGTGCCTGATTAATAAGACAATAAGGAAAACACAGGACACTATCATGGGCTTAGCCTTAGCTCACAACTTCAGGCAGATTTTGGAGCTAGAATAATTTACAAATTGATCATTTGTACCAAGACAAACAACTTTCACGCTTTAAAAATAGTTTATTTTATAAGACATTTTGGATAATCCATACATGTTTATTAGACCAACTTGATGTTCGTATTTTTAGTTTTGTAAAATATTTGTATGTATTTCAAAATAAAATAGTATTTTGTGTGGTTTTTCAAAAGTTTTATTTTGTAGAGAGAGAATGGTGTGGAGTTTTAGTCTCACGTTAAAGAGGAGAGTGTGGTATTTAAGTGTGATAATTCTTAAGCTTTATACTTTTAGAACAAATGTGAGAATGATGGTGCATATGCATAACACACGAAGCATGTGTGGGTGCAGAGACGCTCGATGACATACTTTGTACTTAGGTGCCCCTCATCCAAGCACCTGTACATGTTGGTCTCGAGGCTCGATATCTTTATAGGAGTGTGGCACGTGTGGGAATCCAGCACATGTGCAGGTTGGTCTCCAGGGTCGATATCTTTATACAAGTATGGCACATGTGGCAATCTAACGGTCTTTAGTTGTTGAGACAATAAATTTGCTACCTCTTAGATTTCTATATGATTAGTCTTCTTCCGGTTTTATAGAAAATAGAATACACACCATTCTCCATACGAATTTTCAAAATGATACTGTACTCATCTATATCTCTACTCATTTTTTGACTTTTTCTCTAATATATAAGACTCTGGTGCTCTACACAATAAACTTTTGGTTCGGGTGCATAGAACTTAGAAGTACAAGAAAAGACTTTTTGTTGTCTGTATGTTGATGACAAATTGTCATTTTTTATGCAAACCATTTACGGCTTTGAAAGGGGACAAATATCATCTTGAAAGCACTCTTTCTCTGGAAAAAAAAATTATTATTTCTTGAAAAGTGGAATGTTATGTTTTGAAAGCTTTAAATAAGTTATGAATATTGTGTTTTAAATAAGTTATGAGTACTATGTTTGATAATATGTTACAAGGTTTAAAAAATCAGTACTATGTTTGATAACATGTTGTAAGGTTTAAAAAATCATCGACTGGGCTATGACGGATCCCGTCAATAAACGGGGCTCGCTGATTTTGCGATACAAATTCGGTACGCTGACATCATGGAACCACGATTTGCTACATTAACTCGCTGCGATGACGTATGGATCGGTGTGACGTCACGGATCCGGTTTGCAACGTCCTTTTTGTCTTTTTTTTTTTTTAACCACGTTTTTTTATTATTTTATTACAGACAGTCATCTTTATCTTTTTTGTGAATTGCCTTTTTTTATTATTTAATTTTGAAATGCTAAAAATTATTTTTACCAAAAAGGCCCCACAAAATAAACGATGCGGAACAAATAGCCTGCAAAAGAATTTATTCACGCAAAGAGCGTTTAAGGCTATGCAATATGAGCGCCTGCAGGTTTAAGACCGTACTTATCCAAAAAAAAAAAAGCGTTTAAGACTTTGCAATAAAAAATGAGCGTGTTTAAAGCTTTTATAGCGGACCTTAACACGCTCAAAGTGGGATGGCAAATTTTTAAACCTTGGTGTACGCTAATTAAGCTTTTTTAGCATATGGTACATTAATTAAATTTAGGAAAAATTTTGTATAGAACTCTAATTTTTCATATTATTTTATGTAGATCATCTCTCTGTTTTTCTTTCAAGCGGTATAAAGAAATTTCTAAGGATTTACCATATCCCCTTATCTCTTATCTCACTCTTTTATTCACTTTTGACCATAAAAATTAGTCCTAAAAAATCTTTTTATACAATTTCATCTCTAAAATTTTTTTAACCATTTTTTTTTTCCTTTCCACCCATTTAAAAAGTTTTTGGGTTGAAATGGTATAAAAAGATTTGTTGAGACCAATTTTTATGATCAAAAGTCAATAAAAAAGGGTGATAAGAGATAGGGGGTATGGTAAAATCTTTAGGGGTTTTTTTAAACCGCTTGAAAGAAAAACCGAAGGAGGGTCTACCATGAAATAATACGTGGAATTAGGGTTTTATATGAAATTTTCCCTTAAATTTATCATATGGTAGACTAATTAATTAAATAACTAATATGGAAACCATATGGTAGGTTTTATTACTATATTATTATTATTGTTATTGTTATTGTTATTATTATTTTGTAGCTGTTGCATGTTCTCGAGAGGTATTTTTCTATAAATAAATTGATATCTTTATTTTTCATTTTTTCGGATAAAATTTTTTTTTTTAATATCATAACATTAAAATTTATTGGGGTTTTATTTTTGTTTTTAATCATATGATAATAAGGAAGTGCTTCTAATAGTTTAAATTATTTTGATACAATATTATAATACTATATTATAATTAGTAGTTATACAGACATCCAGACTAAAAAACAACGTCTCAGTATTCAACTATTTTTACAAAGTAATGAAAATACATAATGCGCCACTCCTAATTTCTTTTAGAAACTAAAAGAACATTATTTTTAGATATTTATAGTACTTTCTTGAAAAACATTTGAGACAAAAATAGCGGATTCGGCCGATTCTCCGATCTGATCCAGTAATCCGACGTGAGTATGGGTGAGGCTGATTCGAGTCACCGATCCGGTTTTTTAAACATTCACCTGCTGGAATGTAAAGAAAGTTTTGGGTACTGTGTTTGATAACAAATATATAATAATAATATAAATATAAATATATAATATATAGTTTATATAATGTAATATAATATATAATATAATGTAATAATATATAGTATATACAATGTAATATAATATATGTGATCTTATATTATATATTAATTACATAAATATAATATATGATATTTATATATTATATATAATAGATATACATTATATAGTAGAAATTACGTTAATAAAATTTACAAATATATAATATAATGTAATGTAATGTAATATGATGTAATATAATATAAATATACATTAATAGTATATATAATATAATATAATATATAATATATAATATTAATATATACTAATAATATAAATATATTGTATAATATAAGATATTTATATATAATATAAGATATTTATATATAATATAATATAATATAATATCATATAATATAATATAACGTACAATATTATTATAAATATAAATTTATATATAACATATAATATATTATATATAATAGATATACATTATATAGTACAAATTACAGTAATAAAATATACAAATATATAATATAATGTAATGTAATATGATAATATAAATATCTATTAATAGTATATATTATATAAATTATACGTCCTACATAATATTATATAACACAATATAATATAAATATATACTAATAATATAAATATAAATATATTATATAATATAAGACTTTTCCTAATGTATAATATATTATATATAATAAATATACATTATATAGTACAAATTACAGTAATAAAATATAGAAATATATAATATAATGTAATGTAATGTACTATGATGTAATATAATATAAATATATTATATAATACAAGTATTTATATATTATATATAATATATAATATAATATTATATAATATATTATGTTGTAAATAGTTAATAGTGATCACTAGGAGCACTAATCGACAAAACGTTATGAAAGATTAACTTCCTTTCCCTCCCCCGTGGAACTTAAACTCACCTCATTTAAAAGGGGAAAAGACGATTTCTTAAAAGTTAACTTCTTTTTCTGAGACGTGCTTCCAAATGTAGAACTTCTCATAAATAGGAATGTTTTCTTTTTGAAAAAAATCTTTCATGAAATCAAATATACCCTAAGGGAGTTCGATTAATTTGTTCTTATTTTTTACACCTTTTGCACCCAACCAATTTTCAACAATTCAATATAATATTTCATGGGAGACTGTCATTTGAAAGTCATGAATCATGATTTCAAAAGACTCCAATGCTTTAATATGAACTTTAAAATATGGCAACAAAAGGTACTCTTCTTACCCACTGCTATCAAAATAGCATATACATAGTCACTGAATCTATGCTGAATTCCCCACCATCAACTGAAGATTCTAAAAAATGGATGGAGGATGATTACATCTACAAAATGTCATATTCTCAATGCTTTGGCAGATCCCATATATGATATGTATGCATCATTTGCAATGACGAAAGAGTTATATAAACTTCTTCCTCAAGTATAGGAGTTGCAGCTTGTAGTTAATGAACTTAAAAATTGTGGTACTCAGTTAAATGAATCTTTCAAGTAGGTACTATAATTCCCAAAGCTACCCCGATCTAGGAAAGAACATCAAAAGAAAATGAAGCACAAGAAAGTGGACCTTGA